TAAATATTGCAATTGCAAACTATTATAGATTTAATTGAACAAAATTTATTACTTGAATTGAGTTAAAGTAAGTTCTAGTAATAAAATAAGCATTGAATTGATTAGACATCAAATTTGCATAATTATTTAACATTAAGTTGCGTTAAGTCAGTAACAGTTCAGTATGTACAATCCTCCCGTTTCATTTTTGAAGCATGCATTAATGATCAAAAATGGTAATCAAATTCAAAACTCAGTAATTTTTATTGAGTTCCAAAAATTAAATCTCAGTATCAGTTCTAATTGCATTTTAATTTCAAATTACAGTACCTTTATCACTTTTTTCACTAATGCTCTAAAATGTCATCATTCAAAGTGCAAATTTAATCACTGATATCAAAATTGAAAAACTAGTTTATGAATTTTTGAAACACTTTGTTGAAGCTGTTGAAAACTTTCCTTCTAATGCCTTCTTTAACGCTGAAGTATTTTCTTTCCTTGAAATCTAATTTTTTCCCTCCATTTTCATTTTATTTATGTATTTTTTATATATTTTACTCGGAAAAATAACTTCATAATATAATAATCATATTATTAATATTAATATTTTACAGAGATTTAGTGCTCAAACTTTAATTAATTTAAATATAGCAATTTTTATGATAAATTTGATTCAAAAGCATATTTTATTTGACAAAGTTTACTTAATTACTTGCGTAGCAAAATTTTGAATACTTTTAAAAACTGACTAAAAATAAATATTAATTTGAATTGGTTTTAAATTCAATAAAAAAAGATGTGAACAACGTTATTTGTGTCCTCAGAAAGTGAAATTAAAAATAATTCTTTCTTTTTTATTAGAAGCAAAAATTCTTTATTATCAAGAAATACGAATCGAACTACAGCAATACTTCTTTGTACAAATTACTTTTATCAAAATTACTACGTCAAGAAATTCTGCCAAAAATATTAGCCTGAAATATAATAATCTTATTGTTATTTGATTTTATACAAAAGTGAAAAATTGTCCCTCAAACTTTTATTCACAGCATTCGTAATTAATACTCTTATGGCTTATAAAAATGCAGTAAAGAACTTATTACTATAATATCGAAAAGCAAAATTAGTCATTCAGAAGCACTGTAAAATATGTTAATAATAATAGTCATAATGACAGCAATATTGAGTAGCAATAATATTTATTATAATTATAATAATAATAGTAATTATTATTATTGTTATTATATTTTTAGTAGTAAAATGAGCAAGACACTAAACAGTAAGTGAGTATTATAGCGATAGCAATGATAAGAATATCCATTTCCCCAGTTTTAAGGGAAAATGTAATTGAAATTATTAAAATGATAAAAACAGTAATAATCGTATTTTATTTTTACTAATTTGTTTTATCATTTTGCATATATTTTGAAGATAGTTGCGACTTTGCTGAATTCAATAGAAAAGTGTTACTGTTCAAACATAGCACTTGTAGCAAATTTTTTGTGTGCAACTTAGGCAGTCAATAGAAGTTAGTTACTTAAATAATCTTACTTAGTCAATCTTATACTTAATAATCCCTTCTAATTCTGTGTACTGCATGATTAATGCATTTCAGATTTGAATATGATGTTGATAGTGTTTAAGAAAGTAAATTTTTTCATTTGAAAACCGATTCAAATGTTAAGTAATAGTAATAATAAGAGTGACGATAGTTTCAGACAGGTTTTTGGATTGTGTGCTATTTAATGTAATAAGTTATGAATGATTAACTTGTTCACGCAATGAAATTTAGTACAAATTTCAAGTCTTATGATAGTAAGACCTGAAATTGATAATAAATAGTGCTAACAGTAACAGTAAGTATTACTTATTTGTTATCTATCTAAGTGACATCAGTTGTGGTATTTTTGAAACAAATCAATTGTGATAGCAAATAACTGAATAAATTTTAATAAAGTTTTACGCGAATATTTTTCTCGTGCTAATTACACATTTATTAGCATGCATTGTTTCAGATATATTCAAAAATTCTACCTCTAAAATCAACAATTGTTATACAACTTTTGCTCAACTCGAATGTATTTTTATTTATTCAAATATCTAAGCTGCTATTGTTTTTTCACGTTTAGATGATAAAATAATTAATGGTGCAAATGGCTTATGGTAAAATCACGATAATTTGGTTTTCTGTATGTCTTATTGTACCCCGGCTAATAATGAGTATTTGTCCTAAAGAATGTATTTGTATTTCTGAAGAACAAAAAATGGCACGTTGTAATGGCGTGATATTGAACGATATTCCAGCTTTGCTGGATCCACGCATCACATCGCTAAGTATAATAAATTGCACACTGAAACGACTTGATCCGGATGTTCTCGAATTGTATCCAAGTATAGTATTTACATTTAATAAGGCTTGTTTAGATTAAGAAAAACAAATTGTAATTTTAAAAAATCTTTTAGATTTGGAATATTTGGATTTGTCATTCAATAAAATCGAAATGATTGATCTGAAAATCTTCAAATACCAAACAAAACTTCGAGTGTTACGTTTAAATGACAATCAGCTTTCATCATTACAGTTGGATGCTTTTACTGGCATGGATCAGTTACAAGTAAAACTATCATCACTTTAATTTATTGTTGTTGCATAATAATTAGTGAAAATATCAGTTGTTCTAATGATTAAATGATAATTATATCATGCACAAGTCTATGACAAATTAGTTTACATGTTTGAGTACAGTAATAATGTGAAAAACTCATAATTATCAGAGTTATTCTCTTTACAGTATCAAAAGTTTAAGCAAAACATGTATTAAGAATATTAGTTTATGCTCATTATAAATTAAATTAGGTATGCTTGCGTCTAATGAATACAAATGATACTGTAGTGACGGTAAAATATTATCATCAAATAACATTTACTTTAAAAAGTTTAACGTAAAAAAACTCTTGAATAACTAGTTTTTTACTTTTTATTATTGATTCTTTAATTTAAAACGCACAATTTTTTTTTCATTTTTGAAGTATTTTTTAGTGGGAAAAGTACAGAAAATAAAATTTGAGGGCGAGAATTCAAAGAACAAACTTAATTTTCATCAACGGTCTATAGCTATAGTTTGCAGATTTAATAATAATACTAATTTATAATTACAGCTATACTTTATTACATTTAACCCTAAAAATGTATTGAATAAAATAGTCGTGTCAAATATGGCATCGAAAATTAATTAAAAGCTATTATAGCAATAAATTATCATTAAGTAATTATAGCAGTAAGATATTATTACTTTTATCTTCGGTATAGTTATTAATGGTATTTTATATTAAGAATGAATTTTTATTTCTTGCCAAGCATATAAGAATATTTTCACTTGCTGATGTAATCTTTTCTAGTCATAATGCCGATATAGATATTATAACTATTTTTATTATTATTACTTTCACTATTACTGTAATCAATAATATGTTGAGTATAAGAGCACTTTATCAAGCAATAACATCCCTTTGTGAGTAATTGTTGTAGAAGTTAGTTGAGAAGTATGAATTGTTATTCAAATGGAATAGACAATATTTTCTCCCACCTTAATCTGTTTGTTACTGCTTGGTAGTTTCTCAAATTTCATCTTTTTCTAGCAGTCTTTAAGCCGCTTACGAACATCACTTTGGATGGCAATTATAATTACTTACTGTACAAATTATGGGACTAAGAATGGAGCAAAAAGAGGGAAGCAAAAGTAATACTGAGAAATAACAAGTCAAATTCTGCTTAAGTCAACTAACTATGCATTATTAGATTGACGAGAAGTAATTAATTATTCTCACATAAAAATAACTTTAGATTTCTTTTTTTTATTTTCCTTGAATTATTATAATTTAAAATTAAGTAAAATGTTGAAGTCATCCCTTCAAACTCATATTAAGCTAAATTTTATCATGACAATAGTCGGCAGAAACAATAATATCAAAATTATATTTTGTAAATGTTTTGCAGTCGTAGTCAGTAATAAAAATTTCAGTAGTAGCAGTGACTGTTACTACTATTCATTACTATTATTATTATTAAAATTGATATTATTATTATTTATTACTATCATTATTATTGATATTGATATTATTATTATTGATATTGACATTATTATTATTATTATTATTATTGCGTTATTATTATTGCAAGTATCATTATTACTATCAGTAAGAGAGAAAGTGCTATAATGATTATTTTCAAGAACATTATTTTTAATTGTTGCAAAAATGTATGGAATTTGCAAAATTTAACGGACTTACAGTTTAAACAGTGATGGAAAAAAAACTGTGCGTGTAGTAATAAAATATTTACTAAAAGAAAACAAACGAAGAATCCTTTTGTTTATTTCTACAAATTCGAATTCAATTATTTTAAATATGCAAATTTTTAGTTCCGTCAAAGGTACCGAAATTTTAATTTATAACTTCAAAGGAAAAAAATTTTGTAAATGTTTTGCAGTCGTAGTCAGTAATAAAAAATTTTTATTGGATGTTTAAAGCACATTTTTGAAATCAAATTTAGTTTGAAATTTAAAAATGAGAGGGCATGTGCATGTATACTTTAGAAATAATTGCTGATATCATTTCTTGAAGTCTTTGATTTATTTATTTACTACTACCACCTGCATGATGGTAATCCAATTTTGTATAAAATCTATAAGGAAAAATCAATTCAGAAAAAATAATTTTTAATTTATGTTTAAAATCAGTATAAAATTTCAGAAGAAACAGAATAAGTAATTGGTAGTGATCACATTTTATATTACTGTACTGATTACATTTTATATTACTGTACTGATTTCTAATTTGAATGAGTATACTGTGTTTCAAAAAGTTAAATTAGAGCTATTCTACAAATATTTGTACTAAAATACTTGAGTGTGTTAAATAATAGTAGTAAATAATAAAAATAAAAGCATATTTTTATTTTTATTTTTTTCGGACAACTCAAACCACGTTGTTAGCATAATTTTCACGTGAAAATTTTCAAAATGCTTTATAAAAAAGAAGTTAGAAATTAAAATTGATAAAAACACATTAAAGTTACTGTTTCAAATTACAGTTATTGGATTTATCAGCGAATCAACTCATCAGACTAGAGCCATTGTCATTTTCTGGTCTAAACAGCCTTCAACAATTAGTGCTATCTAAAAATTTGCTCAAAAGATTACTACCGGATACTTTTGCTGGTTTAAATCAATTAAAATGGTTAGATTTATCCAATAATCGGTTATTTGCTATGGCAGAACATGTTTTCGACGATGTGCCAGCTTTACAGTCTCTTGATCTCAGTAAGAATAACTTTACTACTGTAAGTTCAATCTTTATCTTGCATTTTATTGTATTTATATAAGAAATTGGCATCTCTAAAAAAATAACTCTCTTAGCTTACTTTTATTTCTTCATTGAAGAGATCAGTTTTGAGAGAAAAACTTAATTCACGCCATCTATAATCAAAAATTTTTTATTTTCAACATAATGAGAGCGCAGTTTTTTAAAACATAGAAGATCAACTTTTCTATTATAGATTTTGGATAAAACAGTTTTCGACATATTAATTTAAATTTCCAAACTAATCCATTTAAAGTATTTGTTTAAATAGTGATGATTAGTTACATCGCAAAGGTTATAACTTCCATTTCAGTTCTCACCTGACACGTTTGTTAGCATGACTGCTCTAACTCACCTTGACCTCAGTTCAAATTCATTAGTAAGCCCTTCGTTCACTGGCCTCAGCAACTTACAATATCTTAATATAAGCAATAATTTGGTAAGTTTTTATGTATTTTACTAGTTTTTAATCTGAAGTATTATAATATCAAACAAATAAATACTGCATTTTAATATTTTTGATTAATAAAAACTAGTAGCAGAAATTTTAATTTTTTGAATTCGCTGTAATAAAGTGATGTGAAACTGTGTTCCATACAAATAATATGACTGTACAAAAGGAAAATATAACTTCAAACTTTTTACTAATTTCTAACATAATTACTAATTTCAAATGTATTTATTTTCATTAATTGATTTGTGTCTGAAAAAATGCAGCAGTATTTCGATATTCACTTTATTTAGAACAGTGCATGTGAATGATCACATTTTTGATTGTCAAAATTATTTCGTTTGTGTATTATTTCAGTTGCATCAAGTCATACCAACAAATTATCGTACTTTAAATTCACTGATAGAATTAGATTTGTCTTATAATCGAATGATGGAGCTGTCAACATCATCATTTGATGGCTTATATTCGTTGCAAATACTTCAGATAACTCACCAACCTTACTTACATTCCATCAAAGTAAGTTTAATTTCGATCAAAAAATCATTTTTCAATTAATAGTTGAATTTTAAATTGCATCTGATATTCAATTAAGTGAAAAATTGAATTTTTGGTAAATTTTTGGTTAAAATCTTTAAATTTATCATTGAAAATCGTAAAATTGAACTATGCCAAAAATTATTTATCCAAAAATTATCTTTACGTGAAGAGTACGTGAATTTTAACTTAATAGCAAAAACCGATTCCTTTAGTTTCCACTTTATTTTAACATGATTAATATGCAAGCTTTTGACAATTTAAATGCTAAAAGTGTTAATTCATTCAACAAAATTAAAGTTTACATCTTTGAAATTATACTGATACAAAATTAAATAACTGATTCGAAGTGCTACAGAAATTTTTCAAACAAAATTTTTTCTTGAATTTAGATTTTTTTGGGATTGTGTAGAAAATCACATTTAGTACTGTTTATTACAGGTACGGATCTAAATAAAATATTGGTAATACTGATAATGATATGATGAATCTAAAGCCTTGTATTAAAACTTTCAAGATAATTTTTATGTGAATAAGTTAAATCCGAAGATTACGAATTCAAGCGTATAAAGTTTTCAGCTTAATGCTTTCTCTGGATTAGCAAATTTACGCATACTTAACTTATCGTCTTGTGATGTTCTCGAAAAAATTGACGAGAATGCATTTGAATATGATGATAAGATAGAAGTGCTGGACATGAGTAACTGTCGATTGAAACGAATACCTTCAAAGCTAGTACAGTGGACAAGGTTTGTCTTCTACGTGTACAAGTAGTAGAAATTAATTGACTTTAACATATACTAATAAATTTATTATTTTTGAACTGCAATAATTTTAATAAATATTATTTCAGGCTAAAATCATTGAATCTGTCCGGTAACCCATTGCATTGTGACTGTGAAATGTTGTCATTTCTGCCCAAATTGCTTGAAAAACTTTCAATTAATGCAACCTGTTATACACCTCCATGGCTTTTTAACAAAAATATCATACAGCTAGTAAGTAACCAAATTTGCATCTTTAAGCAAAGCAAATCTTTTGAGCTAAGTAATTGTTTTGAGATTCATAAATTGAGTTAATAATTTTAAAGAATATTAACGACAATTATTTAGTTCATTCAAAAAGTTTTCTAATTAGCAAACAGCATTATTTTGTAATTATATCGCCAATTTTATGCATTATTATTGAGGTTTGAAAATAAATAGCAATTAAGAAAATTAGTAGCGTATGCCAGTTTTGCTAGATAGAAATTAACTTTGATTAAGTGATTGGTTAAAAAATTAATTTTGGCTGGAAGATCCTTGACTAAGTATATTTTCACTTAATTATTTAATTAATAAAAAAAAAAAGCATTCATTCACAAAAGTTCTTTATCAGTGCTTGCTGTGTTTATTGTAGTTTTGTACAATAAATTCTTATTATAGTCACAAACTTGCGCATCAATGAACGAATCACAGCTAAGTATAGCAATTGTTGGCGCATCTTTGCTTGCATTAACTATTTTACTTCTCATTGGTATTTGCATATATCAGCATTTCCGTCCATGCAACAGATTTTCGGCTGCTAAATATCGTAACCAACAAAGGTATCGTGCACACCTCTACAGTAAACCTTTCCTGATTGCTTCACCAATCAATGACAAATCTGATCTTTTATCGGAACAAACTTGTTACACAACCACCAATCATAGTTCTTTAAATGGTACGTACTGTTACTATCTATCTAATCAGTGATATTGATTAGATCACTGATATATGTTTAGTCGCTGAGTACTGCTCGATTAAGTTATGAGCAGTTGCAAGAAACAACAATACAACATATGATTTACTTTCAACATACAGCATGATGATCCGTTCTTAAATGCATCTTTCATTTGAAACAATTCATAGCAGAGCAATTTTTTAATACAAAAATTCAGCTATGCAGTAGTGTGCTTTCATAGAAACAGAACTGATTGTGATTAGAATGATAATCAAGAATAGGTAAAAGTATATCTATGTCCAAGATTGAATCACAAATAAAATAAAATTATATAATTACTCAATTAAATGATCATTTGATCAGTTTATACTAAAATATATGATTTTTTATGAACACAAATAATAAATATACTGGATAACATTTATTTTTTCATTATAAATGATAAATTGATTTATTACTTTGCGCTCAATTTTAATTTTAAAAATTTTTTCAGGTGTTTCACGTTCTGTTGGTGCTTATGATGAAGAAGGATATTATAGCAGTGTCACTCTTCCCGCCGAATCTAAAACTTATGAACGTACTCGTATGCTTTATCCTATGCCTCCGCCTGCTACAACAATTCCTCAGACATTACCGAAACACTGTGTAGATGATAATTTTAGGATTATTTCAGAATATCCTGTTCCTATTACAGAATTATGACTATAAAAGTACAAAATTGAGTCATATCTTTAAATGAAATAGTACAGATAGACTAAATTTTAATTACTTTTACTGATAAAAACTGATATCTGTTTAAATGACACATTTGGATTTATTAAAAGTAAGAGCAAACTGTGATATTTAAGTTAATTTTAGTGCAAGATCGGTGATACAAAATTTAAAGTTTCTGTGGTTAATATTTAGCAGTTGGAAATGAATAATTAGAGAATTATTTTTAAATTACCTAAAGTTTACTCCAGTGTAATCAATAATATAAAGCGAGTAAATGGATGTATATTTCAATGTGTAAATATTATTGCTGAAATTAGAAATGAATATTGGAATTGATGTACTGAAAAGTTAGTCAACATGTTAATGAAGTAAAGCGGGTGATCATCTTTGTATGCATTTTCCATTCATGTGTGTATGTGCTTCCAAATGTATCAGGTAGAATATATCACAAATATTTTATCACATATTTATGTAAATAATAATTGTTTCCATTTTGCCAGCAATTAAACGATTTGCATCTGTCAACAGATTGCCACTGAAAAGATTAAAGCCAAAGATTGGATGTCAAACAGGTTTTCAACTATTTTAGAATAAATTGTTGTTAATTGCTTGAATGAAATATTTGGCTTACGAATAAAATTTGAAAGTATTGAAAGTTGTCAAAAATAAAATACACTGAAGAAGAAACATTATTTCTAAATAACATAAATTTTAAAATTTCAAAAAATGCACAGAAATTCATTTCAAAATATTTTAATTTGCACAAAAATTGGAAAGTGAAAACTAAATAATTTAAATAAACAGTTTTACAATTCATCATAAAATATATTTCAGGATTTTAATAGTTACACAATATTTTTGCTTAAAAACCAATAATGGCCTTAAAAAATAATTAGTGGAGCAAAAACGAAAATAAAATTAT